ATCGCACCATTAATTTTAAAGCTTATCTTAAATCTTAAGTTAGGTTAGGTTTAATGTGCTTTCCTCCATTAAGGTATTAATGCAATATTTCTCTTTTACATGACATAATAATGAAATCACGTATCGTGTAATATTAGTATTAATTTTTCTAACTTTTTGTAACAGATTGCAACGTATCATTTAAAGCTTGTCTCAAATCTTAGGTTAGGTTCTCTGTCATTAATCATTGTAAAAATATAACTCTGTCCATTCCATTTGTGCGAGACATAATTTCAATTTCAAATAAGAAACGTAATAAATCACGTAATTGTTCTTGTTCCAAGGAAACGAATGTACACAGTTACGAGATCCCACCGAATTTTCCTCGAGACGATGAACACGATACACGAGCAATTTACGTTCAAGACAAAGGTAATAAGCGAGTCGGGGAACGATTTTTCACGGCTTTATCCGCGGCATTTTTTCCATAGAAGGAAAGTATAGCGCGGGGCAGTTGCTCGAGGCAACGGTTAGCCCCGTAATCTCGATTTATCAACGGACCCTCAATTTTCCTTTGGCGAAGTCGGCTCGTGAGCTCGGCCGAGTGGTTGAAATTAAAGCATCGGAGTAAACGTAGGAGTTCCTCGCATTAAATTATGGAAGAGGAGCTGTCTTCTTCTATCTAATTTACCCTCGGCCGCGAGTTAAGCTGACGCTTGAAATTAAGCCAGCCCCTAATAAATTCATTGGGCGGTAACTCCACTTACAGTTAACAGTAATTCTTGGATTTTCCAACGGCGAGGCCGTGCGAACAATCGAGGATTTCGGTCAGCTTTCGAAGCGGCGCCAGGGTCATTGTATTTCTTTGGGCGGAGAGTCTTGGTTTACTTTGCAGCCCCGCAAGGTATTCTCTCTCTCTCCTCCCCCCCTCTCTGAAGAGATCGACTTATCAAATTTGATATTAAAATGAACGAAATTGCGATTGATCGCTCGACGAAGTTTCCTCGTTGTTTAAAATAGTGGAATCGAGGATCTTCTAAATAATCGTAACGCTGACAAGTTTTTAATGGAAGAAATTTTTGAATCAGTCAATCAAATAGTGCCATAAATTCAAGAAATACACAAGGGCTACTTATCGATTACTTTACAAACAATTCAATGATTTTGAGATTAGGATTATAAGCACCTGATATAAGCAGGCTAATTCCAAAATTCTGGAATCCGCTCTACGCAAAGCAAAGTATACACATTTATACACTTTCGACAATGAAGAACAATGGAAATGTTGGAGCCCTCCCCCTGGAGAGGAGATCGCTTTTAAGTTTCACGAGAATAAATCCATGGAAATCCGCCGTGCCCGATTTAAATATCAATCGGTTGTGGAGAAACGCGTGAGGAAAGAAACGGGAGACTTATACCGGAATGAGCGGAACGGATTAAACGAGGCGAGAAATCAGGTGAAAGGTCGAGATACGAATGGATGCGTCTGAGAAACGGGAAGAGCAAGCGTTGAAAGAGCTGGCTGGCCCCGTGACTGCTCGTATTTCCAAAGAGGGAGGGAGGAAAGACGCGAAACGGTTTATTCTCAAGCCCCACCCTGCTTGCATTTTCTTTCGGAGAGATGCAACGGTGTTCCCTCCAGAGGATGCATTATATCTCTCATTGCTTCGCGATCGATAATACGTTCTCGTTTATACAGAGAGGGCCCTCTGTGGCAGACACTCGTTCCGTAGAACATTGTGATGCAACGCGTTGTGACTGATTGTCCTTCGCCCGATTTCAAAAGCCTTTGTCACTGCCTTTGCACGCCCTTCGCCGAATTCAGCGCGAGCTTGGCAATCCTCAGCCGCGGTAAACCGAAAACGAAAGATTAATCGATTTTTCTTCTCTCCTCCACGTGTTATTAGTATTATAGATAGGATTCTATAACATCATCTTCGATTCAAGATTCTCCTTCTCATCCCCTCTCGCCGATCCTTTCTCCAATCTCAGATATGCTCGAAATCCGCTGTTCCGTGTTCATCTTCGCCCGCGTTTCGGGGTCCACGGGGTCAGGTGAAATATGAAAAAGTTTGGTGAAAAGGGTTAAATAGGGCAAACGCCTACAGGCCAGCCCCCATCCGCTTTTCTCTCCGCTCCACACACCTCTCCCTTTCAGCTTTCTCATCCCGTCGACGCGCACTCGAGGCCCCCTCCCCCTCCCCCTGATATATAGCGCGTTTATCGACCGGTTCTTGTCTCGTCGCGGATTAGAAAGAACGGCCCTACCGTGTTCAACCGTGATTCCAATTCCTCGATCGTGTCTGGCCGGTAATCACGGCGCGGGATTTCTTTCCACGAAGGAAGGAGCTTGGACGACGAACCGCGGCCTCCAACCCCAACCCGCCCCACGATTGATCGCTTCCCGTCCAACCTTTAATCCTTAACACCGGTTAAGGTTGTGGTCGAGCACAAAGTCGGATCTTGACCAGATTTTCCTCCTTCTGCACGAATAGTAACCCTTTCGATCCGCCCCTCGAACACCGTTTCGAGCATCGTTTCCGGTCCAAGGAATTCTTTTCTCCAGATGTTCCACATCTCCAGTCGTTTGACCGATTTTATTTTTGTACGTGTTGCTCGTCGGTGGAGAGAATCGTCTCATCTTCCGTTCCGGAAAAGTTGGCCGTGAATCGAAAAGCCGAATCAATTATTTTGATACTCGTACAAATTCAATTGGATTCTAATTTGATTCTAGTTTTTTTTTTTATAAAATAACGTAGTTTTTAGTTTTAGTAAAGCCGTATAACGAAACATTGTAGGTGTGTTATAACTCGAATATTCAAAATTCTAAAAATTATTTTAAAAATATTCTCTAAGAAATTATTACCTTAATTACAAAATTACGTTTATAAACTGTATATTCTCTGAATTCTACTCTGCATTGATACGCGAGTCGTCATTTTGGATATAATATACAAAGAAATG